GACACTGTCCACAAAATAATTTCAGACAGAAATTGTGCACTAACCTCTGTGTTGTCCGTGTAGATGAAATACATGACGTGGATAAATATTTCATGGGAAATGTTGTGTAAAGTAATCACTGGGGTGCTGGGCTGGGACTCTAGCTGCTCTCCCTCACTGAAGTGGTCCTCCAGTAAGGCTTTAAAATAATCACTACGTCCACAGAAAAACGCCTGGAGACACAAACAGACAAACAATAAAACTTTAAATACTGATGTGAGCGTCAGGACCTGGACCTCAGGACAAATGTTGCTTTGTAGTTTTACCTTATGACACAAGAAATCATAACCATTCACTCTGAAGCAGATATCAGGATACGTAGAGAAGCCGTCAACTCTGTTAAAAGGAAGTTCACCAAATCCAACCTGGGGGTAAAAAAACAACAGGAAAAAAAAGGTCAACATGGGCTCATTAAAACTGTAATATTAGTTTAAGTTCTTGATTTGTTGCTCCCATGTCCTTACTTTTAATTCAGTAGGAAGTGCAGAGTCTGCTAACTGGGCAATCTCATCCTGAAGTTGACCGCTGTGAGGCTCCAGGCTGAGAAATTTTACACAGATTCCTGGCTTGTTGGATACTTCAGTAGGAAGAAAGAAATTAAAAAAGAGAGACATCAAGACAAAAGACAGACATCATTAAGAAAAAAGGGTAAAAAGTTAGCTGACAATTAAAATGTCTTTTGGTATTTTGAGCTGTTTGTACCCATACATGTATTTGAATGTTAACCCAGAGTACCGTCTTACCATATTCATACAGCTGTTTACATTTATTCTCCAGCGCCTCTATAAAATCGGCCATTTTGCACTGTTTAGCAAGTCGTCTGGAGTCCTCCACGTGGCTTATATCAATATCCATTCGTCCTGTGACATTAAGAAAATAAATGCATCAAGAGAGTCGGGACACTCGCACCTACCCGACAGGATTACACATACAGTACACCCGCACGAGCATAGTGGTTTGTATGTTACGGAAACATATTACATGACTGAATTCAATGTCTTTAAGATACAGGACTTAAACAGGCTTTTCTTTCTATTTCAGGCAACAATGTAAAAGCCAGTTTGTAATCATTTCTTTCCTAACATACTTCCAATGTAAGTGATTTGTGACTAAATCTACAATTTAGTTAATATGAGGCTCCCGCAGCCCAGTCGGAGTTAATGAAATTAAGGGGATTTTACTTTTTAATGCTAAATTGCCTCTTTGTATTTCTTGGACAGTTGTTTCCTTGCTGGGCTGCAGTGGAGGGACAGTAACAAATAGCAGGAATTTGTTGCTAAAAATACTGTATCTTTGGATGGTTATCTTCCAAATATTATTATACCCTCATATTAGCTTCAGATAAACTGGAATGTACTTTCGCCCAGAACAAGGAATGTGGAATTTCAGGAAGGGATCTCTTAACGGTCAGTACGACCGGGAGGACTAATTGTTCACATGGGCACCAGACTATTGTTTTACATCAGATGTGGAAAACTGTAAACTTATCCTTTAAAAAGTGCTTTAAATAAAAATGAAACTGAAAAGAAATGAAAAGTTTTCGTAATATCATGATATTCAAAGAAAAATATTTTGTAAAATGCCATTTATTTGGCAAATCCAATCAGAAAACCAGATAATAAATAGCTCTACACACCCACCTGTATAGATGTATTGCAGGATGGCTCCAAAGGCTGCAGGGTTTACCTAAAAACCAAAACCACTTTTATCCATACAGACAGGAAGAGACAAAGCTGACAGCACACAGCAACAGAATGAATCAACCAGAATATACATGTTTATCTACCAAAGGGTGCTTCAGGGTGATCAGGTTCTTCCCCTTCCATTTTTTCTCAAACATATCCATGAAGTACTCGGAGCGTGCACTCAGAACACATCGGTGGGCCATGAATATTTGTCCATGGACCAAAAACTTGACGTCGCTGTGTTGACCCTGCTCCAGTAACCTAAAGCAGAAACATCAAACGTTAGATGGAGGTAAAACTGTAATGGAGAATAAACTGCTCTTTCTCCTGCTCTGTAGAGGAATGAATGTGCATGAATGGCCAACAGGCACTTGACCCTTACATGTGCAGAAAGTAGTTAAAATCATCCCGTTGCATGGCGCGGACACTGACGCACTTATAGTCTTTGAGCAGGCGTCGTACGGAGTCGTTCAGGGAGCCGTACATACACCTCTCGCCATCAAACGTGTTGGCTTCACACTTGGCACCTGAAGGCAAAGATAAGGGGGAAAAAGAGCTATAATTATAGAACAGAACATTTCAGTGTGATTATACTGACATCAAACTATAGTAGTTTTACCATGCAGACTTTTATTATGTTTGCATTACTTAATAAAAGCTAACCCTAACCCCAGTGAAATTCCAGCCTTACCACTAGCCAACAGGTACTGGACCAGCTCTTCATGGCCACAGAGACAAGCGTAATACCTGAAGAAATAAAGTGTACATAAATCACATTTTAAGATATGATAATAATGATGATGCCACGTGAACAGGGGCATTAGACTGCTTGCCTAAATTGTACTTACAAAGGGGTGCTGTCCCATTTATCTCTTACATTGAGGTCCACATCTCTTTGCTCAACAAGGTATCTTAGAGAGAAAAGAGAAGAAATGAGGGGACACAGTGATACTGAGTGTACTGAAGTCTACCATATGTAAATATATCTGAATGCAAGGTGGATAAAATGGGCATTGCTCACAAATGAAACATTAGGATTATTTCACATACAAGCATCACTTCTATCTGACTGTTTTCTGCTTTCATCAGCACTGCTGCTTTTATATTTATATATATATATATATATATATATATATATATATATATATATATATATATATGACATAGGATATATCCTGCAGTGCTGGAGTTAACTGGATGCTTAAAGACTAGTTAAGACTTGTATTGTCTTGACTAATTACTGCTCTCCTGTTATCATCAGGAGAGAGGAAGTGTCTTACATCAGTGGAAAAAATCTAAAAGCTGCGTAGCTGACAGCAGTGAATTCTCCACATATCATCCCGTTATACACCTGACACTGACGGTATAGTATCTTACCTACGTTGCATCTGGAAACTGAGCATCTGACCTACAAACGCTAGCTAAAGTTACCAGCTGGCTCATCAAAGCTAATGTTAGCAACCCTGCCCTGTCCGTGTTTACCACAGCGACACACTGCAGTTAGCTCTCGGCTTCAGCTGCAGGGCGACAGCTGAATAACACTGTACAGAGGAGCACAGACAATAACAACACGTAGGATTCAAGTAGCTGCAAATTTACTGCAAAAGCAAAAGAGAGACAACCAAGCCAAAAACAACAACAACAAACAAACAACAACAACAACAACAAACAACAACAACAACAACGTCAGCTGAGCCGTTGGTTACCTGACTCTACAAATGTCGCCCTTTCTGCAACTACTAAACAAATCGTACACATCCATGATCGCCGCGGTGTTTTCGGTCCTCTGTAATGCATTGAGACGGCCTGTCTACTGGACAGGTGGAGCTTGTTCACAGGTTACTCGGTCGCCGCTGAGAAAGTTTTGCTGGCTGGCTGGTTGACACCTTCTTGCACAGTGTTGTTTACAAGTCGAGTCCTGAGTTGTTTAGATTAGGGCGAATGAGGTCTGGCCGTCATGTGACGAGTGTCTGCTTCACTTGGTTGTAGAGAATGGCGGAAAAGTGACGACGGCTCACAAGACGGCAGACGTTTGTTTTTATTAAACAGACAAAAAGTTATATACCGCCTTATTTGTTTTTTGTTTTTTTTACATGACTTCAATATCAACCGCCTTAAAACCATGTTTACAAGTTAAATTTGTTGTCGTTTTAACCGTAGGCATGTAACTTGTAGCTCGTGTTAACGCCTATTAGATGCTAAAAATCTGACTCCACTTGAATGCAGCACACGTCATTCTATCAATCATGTTTGTTTACTACAATAAAACTGCATCAAAAATCATCTCCCAGTGCTGTGGATGTTATTTTTTCTGTTGTTTTTATCGAAATGGGTTTTTTTATTAGAATAATAAGATGTTTTATTTAGTGGCGTGGTGCAGACCAGAGATATTATAGTTTATATTTATTATTCTTTTTTCATTTTATTTTTCAACTGAGTTTAGTTTCATTTAGTTTCAAGAGTGTTTTTTTGTGTCAGGGTAGTTTTTATTGTTTAGTTTAAATATAGTTATTATTAGTTTCAGTGTTTGTGTTAGCTTTGTTTAATTATACTATGGGGGATATTTGTCAGCAGCAAGATTTAAGAAATTCAGAAGAGATATTACAACACAAACACACCCACTGTAAAGAGCAGTTGACTTACAGTCATGTAGACATCCCAGTCTCAATAATGCACCAGTGCCTCGTCATGCTGCTGTTGACCAAATTTGACCAAAGACTAAAACTGAAGACATTTCCTATATATTTTCATTTGTTTTTCAAGAATACAATTATCAAGTCTAGTATTTTTAATTTACTTGACTGTTCAGTTAACTGTTTTTTTTTTTTTAGTGAGCGCTGCAATTCACACACAACACTTTGGCAAGCAGCACAGAGTAAGAGAGAAAAAGCCGCACTCAGCAATGTCTAAACTAAAACTGCTTAACATTTCAAATTATTATAAAGTTATTTGTTTCAGAACATAGCTTTCTTAAACAAATAAGTGCACAATCCAATTAGAAAAGGTCTGTTTTTATTCCAGCTCAAAAATTCACAATATCAGCTGTCACATTGAGATTGGAATTTTTTCTCATCTTAGATTACTATTGGTCTCAAAAATCATCATCGCGCAAACATTAGCCGGGCTCTCATTTCATTTCACCAATAGACTAGATAACCTGCCCCAGGTTGTTCCTCTCACTGGGGCCAGACAAATCTTTATGTAGCCTGAAAGCCACAATGCTGTTTCACATCAGTACTATTTACCTCATTAAACAATAAAAGGGCAACAAATGTGTATAAAAGCATTCATATATACGCATATTGCATATTTATTAATTCAAATAAAAAATTGTCATACAACAATAGTGCAATAAAAAGATAGTGCTTGAGATCTTTTAATCATTTGTTCACTTTGAGTGTGGAAAGCCGATGTTTTAATAAGGAGATCTGAAGTTGAAGTTTTTCTCGCTCCAGGAGGAGGTTTTCCTTCTGCAGGGACAACAGATCCACTTGCAAACTCTCTGTGAGTAGAAAAATACACAGAAAAACATGTAATTAGTAGTGTTACAAACATAGTATGTAATTACTGTCACTGCAAATAATTCTTACTCACATACGTGTATTTTTTATTCAACTTCTAAAGGGAAAAACACGCTGTGATCCAACCATCATTCAGATTTGTTCCAGATTTGTTTTTCCTTAATAATTAGCAGTAAGAGCACCCATAATGCCATGGTATGGCAAATTAAAGGGAACAAGTATTTCAATGTTTGGGTTTGAAATGCTCAGAAATATGACATAATTTTGAAATGTAACTCCAGTAGAGAAGACAAACTTTCAACTTGTGTCAGTACAACGAGCTTCCATCTAAAAGGCTGAAGATATTCTGTTGTTATTGTCAGAGAATCCCATAAAGAGACCAAATTCAGTGTCTTAGGGCCTGACGACATCAACCCGAGGGTGCTCAAGGTGTGTGCAGAGCAGCTGGCAGGATGAATTGATTTTCAGCCTGTAATGTGGGGCTCAAGCGAGTAAGGCAGCATGGCTGTATATGATACTTAAAATAACTAGGGGTTTTAATAGTTGGAAGACAGCAATCAAGACAGTGTTGTTGAGAAAATGAAGTTTCAAGGCTCTTTGCCAAACTGTGTTACAGATGATTATTAATGATTAATGAATAATCATTGATAATAATAATAATAATAATAATTGGCACAGACCTTTCATAATACCTAATAAAACATTTTGATACTGCATGTTTTGGCTAATCTAAAAGGCACTGGGATAAGACAAAATAAATTGTGTTTCTTCTTTGCCCTTCTTGTCTATTTGACCTAATGAGCTAGTTTAGTAAATTAACATATACATTTTAATGGTTTTTACCTAAGTTTTCTAGTTCTTGCAAATTCTATATGGTTAAACAGAAAATCAATTAACTCTATTGAGTCTACTTTTTTATTTTTCTTACTGTATCTAACACAGTAAGAAAAATATAGACTGTCATAAGACATAACCTTTAAGCCCCATGATGCAAAAAAGTTAGTAATTGTCACCACAAAGGTAGCATTAGTCAATCACAAAAGTGGAAAGTGCAAATAGTTTAAATAATGTGCTTTGAAGAAAAAAAAAAAGGGTCTCAGTAAAACCCTTAGGTCAAGAAACGCCCAAATTCCAAGCATTCCCTCTCATTATTTTCACCCCTTCTGTTAATAAAAGAACAAGCAGTTCAGCTTTTGTCTCAAATACTTCACTCATTGTTCTATCAGCGACAGGACATACAGTAAATTACCGTTTTTCTCACCGCCTGTGACAGCTCTGTTAACTGATGGTCTCTGTCTTTGGTGGCTGTTTGCCATCCAGAATGGAAGAGCGCTATGTAATTCTACCTCGACAGGGTAGTGGTCGCTCACTCTCAGGGCCTGCGGGAGGGTGCATATACTGAATGAGGAATGTTCTCACAAAACAAGCCAGTGAAAGAGCAATACAATTGCACAATGTGTTGGTTATTAGGGACAACTCACCATTTCTTCTGTCATAGAAAACTCCTTGTGGAAATTGAATGGCTTGGCTGAGTTTGGCACAATGGCTGCCAGCATGTCATCTCCGTAAACCACAATCCTGTGAGAGAAATATATGAATTAATTCACATATAATGACAATATGTGGAAGTGCCTGAATGGAGTTTATGAATGCACACATGCCGGTCGTAAGTGTGTTCATTTGACGTTTTTGTGGTGGTGTCCACGCCATCACCGATCAGCCAGTGGAAATTCTTGTCGCTGCGAATACGGATCCCCTTCATTTCCTTCTGGGTGACATACGCACCATCCGCATTGAAATCCCCCAGGATCATTACGTTCTAGAGGAAATCAAAAATGGTACTTTTAGTACAAAATGTTAATTTATCCTTTAGCTTGGATATTGGAATACAGAGAAATCCTATCAAAAGTAGCCATGTTACAACATGGTAAAATTATCATTATAAGCTATATAATTGGTATGATTCTAAATTAAAACTATATGTGGTCATCAATCGAGTTATGATGTATCTCACAAACAGGTAAAATACTGATGCAACAGGATGATGCAACCCACATCTGTTTTCCATTTGTCTTTGACCATCAGGAAGACCTCATACAGCTCATCCAGCTCCTTCTCCGAGTCCCAGGGTGTGGTGCGGACCGGGATGAGCACTATATCCTTCAGCACTACAAACCAAAACAGTCCTGTCAACAACAAATGCTTGTATCCATGTGGATGCACACAGAACTAACTTAACTTGATAAACCTGCCCTCAGCTCCTTTGAATCGCATGTCAGACCAGATCAGACTCAGTTAGTTAGACAAAACAAGCAGGTGCATATATAGACATGAGTCAGACATGCCACAGAAGTTACAGCGACAACGTCTACAGCAACCGACTAAGAATGAAATAATCAAACACGCTAATATCCATAATTGCCTGTAAACAAAACTCCCCATGCACTGCCAACAACAGTCAGGTGCTGGTAGGTCGCAGGACCAAGAAATCAGAATTAACAACCACACACTGGAGGGACTTTACTGTGATTTATTTAAGAGCGCACAACGCATTTCGCTTGGAGCTTCCTCAGGTTAAATTAATCACAATCACTCCAGTGTGGTGGTTAATTCTGATCCATAACTCCCTGTTATTCCTTAAGATCCAATTAAGTGCAGAGACTGACCTGTGTTGTGTGGTTTGAAGTGGAGGATATACGGCTCCCTTGCAAAAGCATCCATGTCGTTCACCTGGTTGTCTTCATATTGATAGCAGTCAATCAGGTCAACAACATCATCCCTTCCAAGTAGGAAAGAAATGGCTTTCTTATAAAAAGCACATTATAAAAATATTACAGTCTGCATTATGATGTGATCTTACCTGTACAGAAACAAAAATTGTTCCTTGTATCTGTTCCTTCCTAGGCGGGTACTGAGCTGTAGAGCGTAGTGATGGGTCGTGTTGACTCTGAGATGGCATTGGATAGTAAAAGTAAGCATACATATAAAGTATAGGCAACAATCTTTGCTTCATTCAGAAGTAAGAAATGTAAACTCACGTGTTCAGCTCTTTCATTAAGTGTTCCACAGAAGCTCCGCTCCCATCCACCACCTCCAGAATCACTATGATGTCGTATCGAGACACAATCTACAAAAGATAAAAGCTCTCAGTAAAGTAAATGTGGAACAATTGAAAAGAAAGGACACGTATTTTAGGTTATCCCCGGCATTCAGGCTTATATTTTTCCTTTGAACTGGTTACAGCTTAAAGAAGGCTATAATTACCCACGTATGAACAAAGAATGTTCAAACTTTAGATCTCTCCTCTTGGCTGTTTCCCAAATATCACACCAAAGACATGGACCATGCATTCCCAATAGTTTACCCTTGTTATTATTACTGATCTTTTACTGTGTAATGTCTTTGTTTATGTAACCACCTGATGCTTTACTGTTGTTTTACCTTAACCAGAGCTGCCAGGACATCTGGATCGGAGAGTTTTGTGATTCCAAACCTCTGGACGTTGAACGAAGCAATCTTCATATCCGACAAGAGCTAAAACAGACCTTTAAAATTAGAGAATTATTCAGTATTTCTTTAAATATACACAACACAGACACACAGTCGCAGCTGTTTTCTCTCTCAGTTTACTTACCTACAATAATGTATTGACGTTGTGTAGATGGTACAGCTTCAGTGGCACACAGCCTTGACAAGAATAAACCTCAATCAGGTTGTACGAGAGACTTATTTCTCTGTAGTTGTTTTTCTAAAGGGAGGTGATGATTGCATAATCACTTCACAAAAGGGAGTGAGGGAGTTTGAAAAGAAAGAAAACTGTTTGACATCAAGAAGACAGCCCGGTTTTTTGTTTACAACCAGCTGTCACTTACAATGAATATTGACATAAGACATTAAACAGAAAGTTGAAGAAAATAAGTGCTGTTATGGAAGCGTAACATTATGTCTATAGCTACAATTCCAGCATTTTTGTTTTTTGTGGGGGGTCTTTTATTGGAGGGGGGGGACACAGGTCAGACAGCTCAGACCCTGGGGTACTCCAGCAAGGACTCAGCCTTGGTACATGGACACTAACTCTGCCAGGTGAGCTATCTGGGCACCCCGAATTCGAACATTTTGATTCAATCTACTTTTCTCTCTGATCTTAACTGTTCCTAACTTGATCTTAACAGGCAGGAAAACGACAAAAACAACAACGTTGTAATATTCTTCCCAATAAACAGCATATTTCACCTGGTTTTATAATATTTTGGCACATTCTCTAGGCAACCTACATATTGTGTGCAGTACATTATCGTCACTTTTTGTGAACTTGTTTCAACCCGACATCAATCTATCTTTGCCCTTTACCAGCTTTTGCTTCCTTCACTGTTCTTGCACCGTACACTAGACTGACTTTTTGGGGGGGCATAAAGCCACTGAAACATTTATTCTGATTCCGCACATTTCACGTTTTTATTTGTTATCAGTTAAGATTTTGGCTCTTGATGACTTTTACATCTAATTTTCAATAGATCCGGTGGTTACCACAAGGAAACATTTTGGATGTATAATTGTTCAAAAAACAGCACACCTGAAGCTGCATAGCAGGCCTGAATTCCAGCATTACAGGAGGAACAATGCAACTTTTGCAGAGGGGGTAGGTGGGAGAACGGGTGGTATGTGTCAGACTGGTTTACCTGCATTGGGGAGGCACATATCTTCACTATCTCGCCACACCCAGACCTGCCTATAAAGTAGCACCCAAAAGATAGAGAGATGCACAACAGAGCTCAACCGCCGCCCGTCCACTTCATCCTCTCCAGCAGTGAAATCTCCACACAGCACGACCATGAGTCTGAGGAGCAAGCGTACCACCCGTCCGGGGATACGCCAGTCCGCAGGGGGCTTCAGTAGCATGTCCATGGGATCCTACTCCATCCCCAAGATGAGCGGTAGGGCCACCCCGGCGGCCCCGATTACAGCCGTGTCCATTAACAAGAGTCTGCTCGTCCCACTGAACATAGACATCGACCCCACCGTCCATGCTGTTCGCAACCAGGAAAAAGAACAGATCAAGAGTCTCAACAACCGCTTTGTCTCATTCATTGATAAGGTAAGAGGAAATTTCACAAACATTCTTGTGTGTCCATTTAGATTAGATTATTGGCCTTTGGATTGATGTTTAAATTACTAACTTCTATGATCTCTAGAAAGATGTTAGGATCAGTTTGATTTAGTTGGAACTTTCTGCTTGTGCCACAGGTAAGATACCTGGAACAGCAGAACAAAATGCTGGAAACCAAGTGGAAGCTGCTGCAGAACCAAACTGATGCCTCTTCTAACGTTGAGCCCATGCTGAAGTCCTACATTACCAACCTGCAAAGACAGCTGGAGTTCATCAACAACGACAAACACAGACTTGACATGGAGAACAACGTCATGCACAAAAATGTGGACGACTACAGGACAAAGTAAGGCATTTTTGCAGAAGGAACTGAAGCACTGTTAAATCTGTTTACTAGAGCGGAAGTTCATACATATGGTAACTAGGTGCATACTGATAAGATCTGCCTGAGTAATCTGATATCTGTGGGTGTTTCAGGTATGAACATGAGATAAACAAGAGGAATGATGCAGAGAATGAGTTTGTCATGCTCAAAAAGGTACAGTATGAAGTCAAGATGGCTTTTATAGATACAAGCCAGATTAAGCTCTGAACCAGTTAGTTAGCTCTATTTATAGTCACTTTAATACCAGCAAATTTCCTAGTAATAATTTTCCTTGTTGGGCAACAAACCTGTATTAGCAGTTTGTTTCAAACATTGTAAAAAGGTTTTATTGACTCCCTGCAGGATGTGGACGCAGGCTATATGTCCAAGGTGGATCTAGAGGACAAGGTGTCTGCCATCAGTGATGAATTCAACTTCATCAAGGCTCTGCATGATGCGGTACATAACCATACACTGAAAATCTTCTCCAAATTAAAAACAATATATACAGTATTATACAGTCTATGCGCTTGTTTTGTTTTCTGGAATTTACCTGCTTACTTACTGTTGCTGTGTGTGTTGTTTTATAAAAAAGGAGCTGCGTGAGATGCAGGAGAGCCTGAAGGAGACCTCTGTGGTGGTGCAGATGGACAACTCTCGTGGCCTGGACATGGATCAGATCGTGTCTGAGGTTAAGGCTCAGTATGAGGACATTGCCGCTCGCAGCCGTGCAGAAGCTGAAAGCTGGCACAAGGAAAAGGTGAAGAAGATTCTCTTTAAAAAAGGGGTCAATGGTTAATTAAAGCTCATACTAGAATACCCTGTATTTTTGAGAAGGAACTGCCCTTGTCAAACCTGATAGCTACTGATCTCACATATTTGTTCTTCTGTTTGATCTCTGCCGCCACCAGTTTAACCAGATGAGTGCTCAGGCAGACCAGTATGGCAATGAGCTGCGCAGCACCAAGGCTGAAATATCTGAGCTCAACCGAATGATCAGCCGCCTGCAGAATGAGATCCAGTCTGTAAAGGCACAGGTGAGTGAACGGTTTATAGAGTGTCTGAAAATCAAAGGGAACTGGACTTTTCTTGCTGGATATTGCATGCAAGCTTAATACTCTTTAAGCTCTTTAAATTCCTAATTATTATGAAGCAGTCAGTCACACATCATCAATGAAATCTTACTGAATGCTTACACTTTTCCAGCGTACCAACCTTGAGGGCCAGGTAGTCGAGGCGGAGAAGCGTGGGGAGGAGGCCGTGCAGGATGCCAGGGCTCGCATCAGGGACCTGGAGGTGGCTCTGCAGAGGGCCAAGCAGGACATGGCTCGCCAGCTCAGGGAGTACCAGGAGCTCATGAATGTCAAGCTGGCCCTGGACATAGAGATCTCCACCTACAGGAAACTGCTGGAAGGAGAGGAGGAAAGGTGAGTTGCATTGGCAGAGTTCAGCAGTGTAAAGTTCTCATCACCTAATCACTCACTGATTAAAAGCTAATTTTGTTTTTTATGGGGGAAAAAGCCTAATGTATCTTATCACTTGTTTTCTTCTTCTTTTTCTTTTACACATTTGGCAATAAATTAAAAAAACAGTTCTTCATCCACAAAGTTTAAGTTTACTAGAAAAAAAAGATGACCTGCTTGAAGACTGGAGACAGAGATCTTGGACGGTATACATACAGTATAGGTTGGGCTTATTAAAATATGATTTATTCCTAAGATGCTCTATAAAACATTGCAGTCTATTAATTTAAAAGTCTGCTCGAATGGTTGGTAGATGATTACCCAAAACCATGCCAGGTGAACCAAAATCATGTTACTGAAGTCAAACATTTTCTTTTTATTAACTATTTAATTGTTAATACAAAAACTAGCAACCATATAGCTTTAAAACAATATAGAAGATATATAAATCTACATTTTTGGAGAAAAATATTAAACTAATAATTTACACTTGATGTTTTGGCATAAAGCTGATTATATCCGCCCCCAGCAACTGTCTAACTAATTCCAAGTATCGATGTTCGGTTTCTCACGTTTATAACAAACTAAAGTTCATGAAAATCGGTTCAGAATTAAGCGAGTTCCGGTCGATTGTGTAGTGAGGTCAGCATCTCTCATTGATAACTAGCAGATCTTGACCTCACCAATATGGCGACCGCGCAAACGCATAACGGCGGCACACAGCAGCAGGGAGGCGACTCAACACGCAGTTAGGGTGGTTATCTAGACCAGTTATTCTTCATCCCTGAAGTATTTTCTTATGTAAAATCTTAAAATACAGCCTGAAAGCACGTCCGATAAAACATAAACCTCACCGTTGTGTCGCTTGTCTCAGTAAGTTTTAAAGTGCGGCGTCTTTTTCGCCTCATGGTAATGCGCCAAACTGTAGTGTAATGGGCTCATTACTGCCACTTGAGGCCGAAGGACAGCATACACCCACGCAGTGAAAACCGCAGTATACCTTTTTCACAGCGGCCATTTTTGACATCAAATAGGGTAAACACACTTATTACCAATTATACTAATTAAGGTTCTGTTGCACTCAGGTCAAACAGAGTCAGGGTGCTGCTGTTGTGCATGTTGGCTCACTGGAAAAGGCTCTGCTACACTAAATGGAACAGAACCTCTATTAGTATAATTGGTAATACGTGTGTTTACCCTACTATTTCATGTAAAAATGGCTGCTGTAAAAAAGGTCTATCTTGCAGTGGTTGTTTTTCTTTCAACGGCCACAAGGGGCATCAATGAACCCACTGCACACAGAAACAAACTACCTTGTTGTTTACAGTCACCATCATATACAGCAACCCTAAGACCTGCAAGTTCCTCTTAACAACTGTTTACTTTGTCAGTACATCAATGCTCACAGTGTATTTCCTTCTTTTCTCTCTGACAGAATTGGACACAACTCTATTGTCAGTATCCAAACAGTGCCCACCAAAAGTAAGTGTTCGACTGAATATAGCACCATGCTTATCACAGGCGTTAGGATTCTTATGGCAGCCTGCAGTGTGTGTTTGTATGTGATTTTAATACTGTCCTCTTCTCCGCAGCTGTCCCGGCTAACAACTACCAGCAGCGGAGGTCAGCTGCAATTCTCATCAAGACAGTGGAGACCCATGACAGAACATACTAAATCACTAAATCAGAAAAAAAACAACACTGCAGTACTCTAACCTGTTGGATTGCTGTGAGCTAACTCTAAACTTTGTATGAATCTCTTTATAACCAACAATGAGCCATATGTGTGTAATTTGTTTATTTCCATTCTCCTTGTGTTTGATGTCACATTAATTACCACTCGTGTGTTTAAAATAAAGATGTACTCAGCTGCACAATCATGTGTCTTCTTTTTCTTGGGTAATAATTAAGTAGAGACATGGAAGTAGGTACATTTTGTTATATCCTCCTCTTTACATCACATCAAACATGCTGCAACTTGTCAATGTGACACCGAACAAAAAACTGGAGAGAGTCAGAAAGACAATAATTTATCCAGTCTGAAAACAGGTGTAATGTTTTATAAATTCACGCTGATGAGACATTAATATCTCCCTCCAGTCAACACTTTCCAATCCATTCAATTTACTTTATTGTTTGACCTTTGCTGTTCAGAATGATGTTATGTCCAGAGTTTGACGCTAGAAGATGGTTTTCACATTAATTCACTGAACTGTGAAAAGTTTCTCTGTGCTCACTTTCAATCTTAGTTGAACATGTACATACAATCATGACTGAGTGACATAACTGCTAGTTTGGTCACGGTTCAATATTCAACTTGCACAAGTGCGATACAGAAACTGGAAGCATCCAGTGCACATACACTGAGAATGGACTTAACACGTGTTTAGAAGTTAAAATCTGGAAATGATAAATATTTGCATATTCACAGATTATGTACTTTTCAATAGGAGAGACTCAAATCTAATTTTAAGAACTTACAACTAGGTAATTGGACTTTTTGTGGAAACTTTATCATGTCAAAAAACATGTCTGGAGGGGGTGCAGTGATGTACATGTGTACTCAAGGCCCCAGTGATATCACTGTTGGGTGTGGTGAAACAGCGTTGAAACTAGATATAGACAATTGACAACAACTACAGTCTGTTTTTGCTCTGAACAAAGGAAATGTATGTTACTGTATCTTATAATAAGGAAGATATGAAGTGCTGCCATTGCCATTCTCTTTGCTTTTGCATAAATTAGACTTTATATCATTTAATGCCAATGCAGACAGCTGGCCAGACTAGGCTTAACTAGGGCTCTGGAAAAAATACAGTGCACTGCTGCTATCCAGTGCCTGTTCAGAGAAACTACAGCTCACTTTGACAGATGTATTTCACAACCAGACGGACATCTGACCAGAGTAGACCTGGAATTTTATGGCCAACGGCTGTTTTTTACAGTTTTACAGTTTTTTTAAGCTGGGACTTCCTATATGCTAACACATATCCTAAATTATTTTGTCCTGATAAATACATACATAAATAAACATTTTCAAATAGGTTTGTTTTCTGGGATATTGTTTTTATTTATTATTTTTACATTTGCAACATATTAATTCAGATGTATGTTATTTGTGTCACTGGTGGAAGAAATACTCAGTGAGTAGTTGAAATAGCAATACCACAGTAAAGAAATACTCTGTCACAAGTAAAAGTGTTACTAAAGTAAAAAAAATACAGAAGTAGGCCTACTATAAGCTAAATGTACTCAAAGTATACACAAAGTGAGGGTAAAATGGCTCCTATTAGCATCAAAATATACCAAAAGTACCCGAAGTAAAAGTACTCATTATGCAGAAAGGACCATTTCAGAATCATATATATATAATATTAATGGATTATGATTATTAATGCATTAATAAATAGGCATCACTTTAAAGTTGCAGCTGGTAGAGGTGGGGTTAATTTGAATTACTTTATATACTGCTGAGTAGATATATAATAATACATCATTATTTATTTATAATTACATATTGTATCAATAATCTGGAACTGCGAAGTAACTAAAGCTGTCAAATGAATGCAGTGGAGTAAAAAGTACAATATTTCCCCTTTGAAATCAGAATCAGAATCTGGTTTATTGCCAAGTAAGTTTTTACACATACAAGGAATTTTCCTGGATGCATTGGTACATAAAAAAATATCACAAAATGAAAATCAAGTACTTTTAAAATATAAATAAAGATAGATAAAGATAAAAATGAATGGAGTAAAAGTATAAAGTTGCATTAAAATGAATTACTCCAGTAAAAGTTTATTTACTTTCCACCACTGATATTTTTCTACCTACAACTTAACTTGGAGCCTATTAAAACAGCTTCAAAGTGTTACAGCTCGGTGGAAAAATACTTTTTCAGTTACTTGCGACACTGACGCCTGTAAGGCAGCGCGCAGGGCTTAAAATCACTCTGCACTTCCTGCTTTGAGCTGCTCGTGGTTTAATTGGCAAGTGGCTCGTGTGCGACTGCAGCTGCATTCCCAGTGTAGGCGTAACCCCAACATTAAAACACAAATCTGTCTGCTTTCTAAATACTTTTTCTTCTTTGCGACACTTTATTTTGTTTACCAACAAGACTGCATCCAAGGTAACTGTACTTCCGTGTTATGAATAATGACAATGTGCATCTTACTGTTACTGTCAGACATGTGGGTTGACAGCTTTCAAAGTAGAGGAGTGCAGTTTATAACACTGTAATTAATCTGCAGACATGATTGTTTCCTGCAGTCTATTGTGCTGACTGAGAGTCAATAACATGTTCTGCATTCTTTCAGCACTGGCTTACACAATGGACAAAGACACTGTGTTGACTCACATCCTGAAGTCAAAGGGCACTTCGACACTTCTTGGTGGAGAGGCACCAGTCACTGTGATAAACAACAATGAGTACATATCCCCGCTGACTTGTAAACCTCAGGTGACAGACAGAAATGTGGAAGACAACCTGCCCTCCCTTGATCATGCCATCCACGCCGCCCTGTCTGGTGAAATAAAAAACGTCATACTGGTTGGTCCTGAAGGATCAGGTAAAACCACCGCTTTAGAGAAGCTTGTTGTGGACTGGGCAAAAGGAGAACGCCTTCAGAACTTTTCTTATGTTTTCCATTTCCGGTTCAGGGAGTTAAGTTCCCTCAATGGGACGCTCTCCTTAGAGACATTATTGCTTCACCATAATGGCCATATCCCTCCTGAGTCCGTGCCCCTGGTTCTGCAGAAGCCTGAGGGTGTGCTGTTTGTTTTTGACGATCTGGATCAGTGCAAACAGAGCCTGGACCCCTCCGTCCACACCCTCTGCTCTGACCCCAGCCGGGCGGCCTCGCTGCCTTGTCTTGTGGCGAGCTTGCTTCATGGGTCATTGCTGAAAGGAGCTGCCTTTGTGGTGGCAACCAGGTCGACAGGATGTGTGACATTTCTGAGTGGCACCCAGGTGCAAGTGTTGGGGTTTCTGAAGCCACAAAGAGAGGCCTACATTAACAGGTTCTTTGCTGATCCAGCTGCTGCCAACAAAGCACTAGTGCACATGGAAAGGACTCTAGGCTTTTATGATATCTGTACCTCCCCAAGATTCTGTTGGACAGTTTGTTCTATGTACAAGTCTCTGATGGATGCTGGAGAAAAACTTCCTGAGACGCTATCTCAGCTGTATGTAGATATCCTGGTCCACCTGGTTCAGATGCTCTCGCAGAACAAGACCCGCAACGCAGAACTAGTGTCGTCCCTCGGCAAGATGGCGTCTCACTGCTCCCTTGACCAGCGCTCCAGCTGTACCAAAGAGGAAATGCATTCCTTTGGCTTTCAACAGTTTCCTACCACAGTTGGAGTTTTCTTGCAAGTAGATGGTGACCAGTCAGATAGATGTGTCTTCTCCTTCTACTCCCAATTGATGCAGGAGTTCCTCTTGGCCGTCTCTTTCTTTATGGACAACTCGATGTCCGAGGGTGTGGAGAAGATGTTGGAAAAGCACAAAGGCCATGCAAAGTTTCTAGATGTCTTCTTGTCAGCCCTCTCAGAGCCGAGTCAGCGCAGACCACTGGAGAGCCTGCTAGGGGAGTTGAACTCTGAACGGATTGTGGATTTCAAATGCTGGTTTAAAGGCAGCTCAGAGATTACACTGAAGGGATGCTACAAAGATAAGCACCACCGCTGCTTCCATATGCTTCATCAAGCTCAGAATGAGAGTTTGGTGAAGGAAGTCATCACCCCCTCAGCACGGATAGGTATCAGCTATGGAGACCTGAGCGTCCAGGACTGTGTAGCTCTGAGTTATGTTGTCACGTGCCTCGGTGAGATGGAGCAGTTGAATCTGTACCATACGAGGAATTTGACAGAGGAGGAAGCAGAGAGGCTGGCTCCAGCTATGAGCTTGTCACATAAGATTATGTAAGTCATGATAAAAAAAAAAAGAAAGAAATGGTGGTATCATTCATTTCATGTGTTCAGTATGCTGTATGTTATATCAATCTGTTGTGTCCGCCAGCTTGTCAGGCAGCTCCTTGAGTGCTGGGGCTGTCCCTCATCTGGCTTCAGCACTCAGCAGAGGACTCACCAAGGAGCTGGACCTCTCTCAAACCCGCCTCGGAGATGAAAAGTTTAAAATTCTCTGCGCTGGACTCAGGGACTGCAAGTTGCAGACATTAAAGTAAGAATACAGCAAAGCAATCTCAAAAGGCAAAAATCACTCAGTTCAGTTAACAAGTTCTTGATATTTTGCTTTTGATTTACCTAGACTTGTAGTATGCAGTCTGACAGAAGCAAGCTGTGAAGATCTGGTGTCTGTTCTGACCTCAGGAACCTCTCAGCTGTGTGTGTTAGACATGGTGTTTAATCAGATCGAGGACCAGGGCTTCATGAAACTGTGCAAAGCACTGCATAGTCCACACTGCAAACTACAGGAGCTCCAGTATGTACTAGTGTTAAAATTCTTGTTTTGTGTTAGAGTTGTCCATTTATGTTTAAATAATTTATTTTAGGTTTGAAAAATGACCTTGTTTTCTTTATTAAAAGGCTACAGAGCTGCGGGTTGACTGCAGCGTCAATGGAGGCTTTATCAGCAGCTTTGTGTTCTGGCCAATCAGAGTTGAGAAAAGTGAACTTGACACAAAACGAGATTGGTCTCAGTGGGGTGGAGGCTTTGTGTAAATCCCTGCAACACCCACTTTGTAAACTGCAGAGCCTCAAGTAAGTGTGTGTTTCAAGATGATAAAACTGCTGTTGTTGCCTTTTGTTTGATGAGCTGCAAGTGTTCAGAACATGTGAAAAGGACACTTAAAATACCTCTTCTGAATGTGTGATAACTCGTAACTTTTATTTTCATATTTTTCTGGCATTGGTGACTTTTTGTTTATCTTTTATTTTAGTTTCTTTGATAGCGAGCTGACAGGTGAGTGCTGTCCCGTGTTGATGGCAGCCTTGCAGTCAGAGCACTGTTCTCTGTCAGAGCTGGATCTGTCAGTGAATGATTTAGGCCAGGAGGGGGCGCTGCTGCTCTGCCAAGCCCTCAGTCGACCTGGCTGTCGAATTGAAAAACTTGGGTATTGTACACCTGTATACTCTTTTGATTTGTGAGTGATAAAGTACCACCTTTCACAAATATTTCCTCAAATTCAGATAACTACATATTCCTCTCCACCCTACAGCTTGAAACGGTGCGAGTTAACCCAGTCAGTCTTCAAGGAACTGGGCTCAGTGCTGAGAAGTGGGACTTCTCAACTTAAGTCACTGACTGTAGGTATAAATCAAGTCGGAGACCAAGGGGTTAAACATCTCTGGGATGCCATTGTACATCCAAACTGTCTGTTGGAGGAACTGGAGTGAGTTCAATATTCCCCTTGAACCATTTTTTTTTGTCCTCACATTGCAGTGTGCGCTACATTCAAATCCATCTGCCCCTTTTATCGTAGTGTTGAAATGACTAATTTGACGGATGCCTGTGTTGGGGACTTGTGTGCTGCTATAAGAGCCAGCAAGACTCTAAAGAGTCTGGAACTGAGAAACAATTCACTGACCGATGCTTCCGTCCCAGCCCTCGTCCAAGTCATGCAGGACAGCCAAAACATGCTGGAGATGAAGTAAGCCTGATTGACTTAGGTTAATTATAAACTATCTTGAGCCAGTTTACTACAAACATTTCAAACTAACATCTAACTGCTGCTTTTGTATCCGACTCTTTTAGCCTGAAGTACAACGACTTCAGTGAAGAGGTCTTTGACTTGTTGGACGAGTGTGATAAAATAAGATACTGAAGACGGATCGATCCATCACTCTGACTGCTGGAGGATCACCTACAGTACTGTATTAAGTGCATAGTGCATCAATCATTTGTCAACAACTGAAAACTAACTAGTAAAATAACTGTTTTGATAAAAAAAAACAATTGTGTTGTTTTTTTTAAGCATATATGGCTTTGGGGTGAATATAAATGAATAGACTAGCAACATGTGATCAGTTAACTGATTGCAGTTGCAACCCTACTCATTATACAGTCAAGTTCCCCATTCTTAATATAATAAAGATCCTACACACCCATCACTGGATTTGACACAATAATGTTTTATTAAGAAACCTTTGGTATTTTAAGAGATCTACCTGCAATATTTGCAGTTAAGGCAGTGTTTTTGTTTTACAGCTGTATAATATATTACCAGTTTCACTAACAAATCTATTTACATGTATAAAATGAGTTTGACGTTAGCAGTGTAGACATGCCAGGGCATTCGCTGCATATTCTAACTTTGAGGCATACACACACACACACACGCACACAAACCACACCACACCACACCACACCACAGTGTAGACAGACCACACACATTTCTCTGTCTACTCCAGTAAGCAAAAAGCAGGTGTAAACCTCACACAGTGTAAACCTGACTCAGTAAGACAGTGCTGAGTCTGTATTCCACACATTGACTTCCCCTGTATCCAAGTCCTCTCTCCATTCAAAACAACTCAGCACATCTTTCTAAGTCTTCTCAGGGGGTCAAAGTGACAAGGTATGTCAAACAGGCACGCAGGTGAATGAAAGCCACACCGGAGATCCCCTCATGGTACTCAGTGGTCATGAGTTTCTCCATTAAGGTTACCAGTGTGACTGCTGTCCTTTGGTTTTATGGTCTGACTGGGATTTTTACTGCAATTTGAATAAATCTCCTCGTCCGAGCTGCTCTCAATGTCACTGCGGTCATCTTTTGATACCTGTAAAATAAAACACAAATAGGAACGACAATTAGAATAGTGAGGAAAGTAAAAAGACAAAGTGTACAGACACAGTAGCAGCTCTGTGAGGCTGTCAGCATGCTAATATGCACACAGTGACAATGCTAACATCCTGATGCAGGTAATGTTTACCACAGTCAGCATCGTAGTGCAGTGTTAGCACTTTCTAATAAGCACTAAATACAAAGTATGGCTGAGGCTGATGTCGTTAGTTTCACAGATAAACTAAAATATTGGACAAATTAAAAAATTATTAAATTTAATGGCAATTCACCCAATACCTGTCGAGACATTTCACTCAAAAACACACATTTCAACCTGCTGGTGACACTAGAGGAAAAGTCAGGGGATCACTAAAGTCAGCCGGATTCATCATTTGGCAACAATGAATATCTTTAAGTAGATTTGAAGAAAATTCACTGGATCAGGGGGTGCTAGATTCGATATTTTACTGAAAAACACAGATGTTAACCGCATGGTGGCGCCAGAGTTAACATCCAAGGATCACCAAAGCAAGTCTGAGCCATTCTGTGGGTACCACAAATTTCATAGCAATCCATCCAATACTGAGATATTTCAGACTGAATCAAACTGATTGAACTGACCAACACTGCAATCCATAAAACTACACAGTTAGGGCAGTTAAACATTGAACCACACATCACACGAACCTTTCCCTTGAATATGGCTTTGATAGCAATGCGAGCAATGAGGTAGAACCAGATGATGTGAAGAGCCTGCAGCACCAACAGCAACCCATTGAGCAACCACCAGGCCCGGTATGGCCCGACGATCTCCCAGCTCTCAAACAGAACGCTGTGAACAACCCTGCAATGAATACACACACAGAGGTTACTGGAGCTGTCAATGTATTATTATTATTATTAGACACTTTTTTTAGTTAATAAAGAAACAAATTTAGTGCAAAAATGGCTTCTAATAGTTAAACATGCGACAGGTAGTAAAAAGTATGTAAATTTGTCTCACCAGAAAGGATAGATGACTAGTCGCGTGAGGAAAAAACTTATGCTGAACACAACAAACAGGCCATCACACAGCCTCTGGAACTTGGCATAGTTAGCCAACTTGGCAGCCTTTGGATATAAATAAGAGATAACTGAGGCAGAGGATATCACACCAGTAACTTTGATGTAATTTACAGCAATGACATCTAGTTACTGAAAGGCTAAGAAGCATGTTTTGCGATTTTTTTCCCCTTTCAGACAGGTATTACAAGTAGCTAACATGTACTTTTACTACGTTATAATTAAACAACTACATTTCAATGACATCTTGTCACTGAAGTGCCAATGAGAGATGTGTGTTTTTCTGTCAGACAGGTAGCACAACCTTGCGCTACAACATTTCAAAGACACCTCGTCAATCAAATGCTAGTAAGAGATGTGTGTTTTTCTATGTCAGACGGGTAGTACAAGTATCTGACAACACAGCTCATGTGTCACCAGCTGTTTGCCTACATTTTGCATAATAATGTGTGGCTCCGCCTAGTTAAACCCCATCAAGTTTGATTCTTGGAGCTATAAGAAAATAATCATCATTAAGTTCTTTACCTCAAGGAAGATGTCGGATGCATCGTGCACACACATGACCAAAGTGCCAGCTCTTAGCATGTTGTTGGCATAGGAGAATGTGATGAGCAGTATGGTGGCCAGGTGGTGCACAAGCATGATCATGAAATCCTGTCGTCAGTGAAATGAAGAGATATGACAAAATAAGATTAAAGTGGTTAATAGGAAGCTCGAGATATTTGTATTGTAAATGAAAAACACCTGCAGCTAATGACACAAACGGATCCAGTGTTTCCTCTAGGATTTTTTTTTAGCAGTGGGGGCAGGGCCGTCCGAACACCCCCTGCCCCATTTCTGATACCGTGGTGGTAGAAATTTAACAGCGGTGGGCCGCCGCTCCAAAATCAACATAGAGGAAACACTGGGATCAAATTGCTGGCTGTAGGCTAATCGTCACTGCCGTCTCCGTACATTCATCAAGACTATCAGTTACGCACACCAACTGAAAGGCTTCGTGTTAAATACTGGGATGACAGGCTAATGTGAAACTATAAATAAAAAGCATTGTTAATCTTTGTGACGCAGCAGCTTTTCATCGTCTAACCTGTTCTGCCAGAGCACATTATAAATCCAAATACGCCGGTAACATTAAAATGTTATGAAAGTTAAGCCTGTAAACACACCGTTAAAGAAAGAACAATGGATATGATATGAAGTGAATATGGAAAGCAGGCAAAACAGTTCTGATACAAAGGGCGTTGAGAGGCAGCACAATAGTGTTAGTTAAGCCGTTGCTGACTCACCTTACGTTTAATGTCTATGAACTGGGAAAACATCAGAGAGCAATAGAAAGCCAGTTCAGCTACGTAGTAGTTGTACTGGCCATGGCTGACTGGCTTTGGGAGGGAGTGAAGCAAAAACAACTTTTACAAACATGTAGCACCTCTGGCCTACCAACATTATGGTTCTGAACAGATTAGAGTCATAATATGGGCCGCTGAATATGATGATTATGCAGTTAATGAAAAAAATGATTAACCTGAAAAGGATAGTTGTGCCAGCACTGTCTGGTATCCCACATCCAAGGCGACTATCAGAAACAGATTAAATGTGCATATGAAGCCTGTCTCTGATTAGATCAGAAAAACATACAGTAGACTTGTTCACAAGCTTCGCAACACTTATACGTACTTATAAGTACAACAATATTAGTATGGTGCAAAAGCATACAGTATGCTAATTCAACTCACCACCCACAAATGGCAAATGGCATAGATAAAAATCCCCAGGTAAAATGTAAATCGCCACCTGAAGTGAAAGAAAAGAGTTGCATTGTCGCTGGGAAAACAGAGCAATGCTATATACATGCTACGGTCAGAATGCTAACATGCGCACAATGACAATGCTCACATTTACCATGTTCTCTGATTGGACTGATAGGAATGTCAAGAGTTGTGCAAGTATTTGGTCTGTTGCTGAATGTTTGTGGCAATCCATCCAATTGTTGACTTAAGATTTCACTCAAAAACCTCAGTTGATATAGTAGCTGAGATAGTTCAGTACGGACCAAAGTGTTGGATCTACTGACGTTATGAAAATTGCAGATAATTCTGCACTTATTAAGTGGGTGCACATTACACAGCAGTTAAGTAGGAACCTACATGCTCTCACAGAACTTTTTCTGAATACTGGGCCTGTCTTGGTTCCGGCGGACGCGAAACCATCTTTGTATTTTCCGCACATCCCAGTCCAGTTGCTTTGAGAGTCCCTCCAGTTGCCTCGTGTCTGGAGGCTAAAGAGACAGCACAGGACAAATACAACACCAGTAGGTATGACTGTCACACTGCATGAAGAACATATTATTATGCCTGTGGTGGCATATTCCAGTGGAGTAACATCTGTATTTCGGTGTGCAGAGGAACACTTAATGGACTGCAGAACAAACGTGGGCCTTATGTACCGTTTTGGACTGATACACCCTCTCCAGGACATCATTGGGCTGAGCTCGCCGAGGCACTCCCGCCTGAATCTGAAGTATGTGGGCACAGGGCTTGGCCACTAGCCTGTATACACACAGACAGAGGCAAAAAAAAAAAAAAAAAAAAAGGGAGGGAGGGAGGGAGCAGGGAGGGGACACAGAGATGGTGTGGTAAGAGAGAGACAGTCAGACAAGGAGAGTCAGATAGAGAAGTTAAGCACTTTGTACAGGCTATAAGAACAGATGAACTATTAGCTTAGATTGGATAAGGACTTCCCCTCACTAACAGGAACTGCTGAGCTCCAGCAGTTTTCCCACAAAGTAATGTTTGACGTGCAAGTGTGTGTCTTCAGGGGAGGGAAAAGAGTACAATAGGGCCTATGGGTAAGAGTTAGAAGGAATCCTGGGGAATGTAGCACCTAGTCTAAACAGAGCGTGATGACCTATCATGTGAGAGGGTGGGAGAGAGAGATGGGAGGGCCGCCTCCAACCAAAATACTGATTTGTGTCACAAGATCATCTGGTTCATCTGGTTGAGTTGACCACTGTTCGTGCTCAGACCCAGAGCCATGTATTACATCGAACTCTCACAACCCCCCTACTTATCTTGAGTGGTTTCCCCAACATGGAAAAAGACTGAATGAATAG